GGTGCTGCCAGTTCTGGGCAGGTCCCGCTTCCCACGGCCTGCTCCTTCCACTGTGCACATCTGAGGGCTGGACAGCCTGTAGTCGGGGCTGCGTGGGGACTGTGGGAAGGGTTAGGCCCCCAGGACCCTGTCCCTGAAGAAGTGAAGGTGGCCTGCCTGGCTGGCTGGAGGCAGTGGGAACACAGAGGAGGTGTGTGAGGGAGACAGACCCCACCAGGGGGAGTCACCAGGTGCCTTTGGAAGAAAATGAGTTTGATCTTAGATTTGATGAGTTTTGAGGCTTTCTTTTCAGACTGTCCACAAAAAGAATTTAAATTTGAATACTTGAAACAAGTGGGAGCCTCTAAACTTCACTTTTATCAGATGCACTTTTACTCTGATCCCATGGCAGGAGACAGGCACAGTGACACAGTGTCATGATGCTGATGGCCACCAAGGCCTGGGGACGGGAACTGGCAGGCGGACTGGGTCTGTAAGGTGCCTGCAGAGGGGAGCTGGGATCTGCTGAATGGGGAGGACTCACCTGGGTGAGATGTGGGTGGGGACAGCTTGAGAAGGAGCAGCACCCCTGCTCAGCAGCGGGGAGAGTGGCTTTACCTCTCTGGTTGCCAAAGTCCAGTCAGAGGATACCCAGAGCCTTGCCTCTTGTCACCACCTATTTTTCACCTCCAGATCCTGGCCACCCTTAAGGCTGTGTGGAGATCACTGTCTGTCTGAGTGTTCTCAGCATCTGCTCTTCTGCAAGGTTCCCAGGAGAGCAGCGGGGGGATCCTGGTCACCATGAGTTGGATCATGTATCCCTCCACTCAGAGCTATGTGATGCCATGTGAATGAAATGACCGTGTGGTGTTTTGGTGTGTGGTGCTAAAGAAAGGGAGCATCTGAGTGTGGTCCAGGAAGACTGACCAGACCGGCCCTCCTTATGTTTTCAGGGAAGCCTGATAAATCCTGGGACTTGGTTTGAGCAGATGACCTTACTAGTCCCTTAGAATGAATCTTTGCTACATTCCTTTAGGCTGGCTCTGGCTGTTGGTTTCAGTGCATTTGGTGAGTTTATGTAAAGATTCTCAGCAGACAGCCGCAGAGATAGGGCCTTGTGGCCATGACACCCGTTCACTTCCTTCCCCTCAGCTGGCATGTGCTGTAGGATGTGAAGGAAGAAGAGTTGGGTCAGGAGCGCTCTGTGATGGGTTTGCCCGGCCTGTGATCAAAGGCTTTGTTCAGAGCAACCAGCTTGGGGAAACACTGGTTGAATTTGTAGAACAGAGTCCCCTGGAAACGACCTCCTTGGGATGTGCCCTGCAGAACCCTGGAAGATGCAGGGTCTTCTGTGATCTAGACTGGAGCTTGAGTGGGCAGCAGGTGCCCCCAGACAGCAGCAGCCACCTGGGAGCTTGGGTGCCCAGTTCCCCCACCCTAGACCCCAGTGAGGTATAGAGGTTCATGGTCATGGCGCCCCAGCCCAGCAGTGACCACTGGGACGGCAACCGAGGGATGCAGCTTCAGATCCAGTCTTCATCAGTTTATAGGAAACTTTGCAAAGGTTGTTTAGGCATTTGGTTATGAAGGTAAGTTCCCACTGAAGGGGATTCCAGTTTCCACAGCTCTTTTTTTAAACATTGTTTTTTAGTTTTCCTGGATTTATCCCTTCTCTCAGGAGACCTAGGACAATCAGAGTCTGCTTTATAGTAGAAGTTGGTTTATGGTCATTCGCAGCAAGGGGGAATCTGAGTATTACTTCTGGCTCTGCTCTGACTCAACATACAGTTTTTGAGGAAACATTCTTTTTTATTTTTAAAAATTAATTTTATTGGTATACTTTAGATGATCACATTCATAATAGGGGATTTGTACTTGTGAATAATATATCTTGATTCTTCTTTTTTTTCCTGATCAGCTGCCCTCCCTTCAATCCTTCTTCCCCTTCTTATTATAGAAGTTTTTCTATTTTTTCTTTCTAGTCCCTTTTGCTTCTTTTCCCTTCCTTTCATTCCAACTCTCCCCTCCCTTGTTCACCTTTCCATTTGAACATTTTCTTCTTAATTCACAATATCTATTATACATTTTGGTCCTTATTTACCCTTTTTGTTTCTCACACCAGAGAAACAGTGCAATTTTTAGACATGTTTATCCAATTTATTTCACTTAAGAGTATCATCTGAAGATACATCCGTTTACTTTTATGTTTCAGGCTTATTCTTCTTTATGGCTGAGTAGTACTCCATTGTATTAAAAACCACACCTTCTTTTTTTTTTATTTAAAGAGAAAAACAAAACGAAGCAAGACAGTAAAAGGCTAGAAGCAACACAGAATTTCAAGAGAAAAAACATACAGTAAGAGTTCACCAGTTAATAGATCACACATTGTCAACTTACAAACAGCTGTCCAGATTACAAAATTAAAGCATACAAAGTGGAGATTAATACAGTGAGATTGCAGTCAGTTCTGTTCAATGATCCAAGAAAAACTCAGCAATATGGTTCTCTTTCCTACACATTTAAATAAACTTGCAGTTATATCCTTGAGATCACTTTCCTTCCTCTTTTTTTTACACTAACAATCGCACATTTTGGTTTCCATTACTTCTACAGTTTTTTTTAACTTTTTCTTTGAAGAGGAAAAGAAAAAAGATTGAAAAAAAGGCCAAAAAACAAAAAACAAAACAAGACGGACCAAAGAAAAACCCAATGTGACAAAGCAAAACAGTCATTTAGATCAGGAGGATGGACATAGCATAAAATGAAAAAAAAAAAGGGGGGGTGATTACTAGGTGATCAACAACGGTTACCATTATGCCTCTTGTTATCCTAAAAAGAGTAGCCTATATCAGCTAGTATAAAAGAATTGAACAAAACTGTACATAAGACCAATAAAACCACATTGGAGAGCTTACAGGATTCCAAAGAAGATAATAGTCAAATAACAATGGGCATCATAGAATATCTGGTTGCCTTCCAAATGGTTGCCTATACACTCAAACTTGATACTATTAAGTGAAACAGAATATAATAAAATCAGTCAGAACAAGATATGGAGAACACTTCAGGGGTTCAAATCAGGTTAATAGGGAAACAAAAAAAATTACTATAATCTATTGCACTATTTTTAATTTAGTTTTCCCTTAGTTAAAAGATACTAAGAAATAAATTAATTTTTTTAAAAAAAAGGAAAGAAAAAGTGGGGGAGACTGAGATTAAAAAAAAAAAAAAAGAACGTATCAATATAACAACACCGGTCAGAATTGAAAAATTTAACCATCATTGTGTTTCACCCCCAGATAGCTTGACATTAATAGTAGTTACCATAGTGACTCTTTCCTTGAAATATTTGAGTCTAACTTCGTATACTATAGCATCAAATTTATCAAGACAGTGTGAGACCATTCAAGAGAATGAAATTATTGCAGGGTATTTAGAACCAGCTAGCAGAAACCAAACATCAATTTCTATATTATCTCTTTGTCTATAAAAAACTTGCTTATACTATCGCAAACATTAAGATATAATAAGGTACCACATGTTAGAACCAATGGAAACAAATGAACAAAAACTTGATGGGGCTTCAAAACAGGATGATATTAAATCAGCGCTAGCTATTACGCTCTTATTGTCTTCAAAATAGTTATTTGTAGTATCACAGATAATAAAATAAAACCACCCAAATTAAAACCATTCCAAGTAATGAGTGAAAACATTATATGGCTTCAAACCAGTGTGACTGGGAATCATGATTACCACGTACTTTCATGTATTCTTATTATTTCTTACACTAGGGAAACTATTCGGTAATTATACAGGTGAGTTTGATTTATTTCACTTATAAGTATGGTCTCGAGCTGCGTCCATTTATTTATAAATGTCTCAATGTGATCATTCTTTATAGCTGAGTAGTACTCCATTGTATAAAAATACCACAGCTTTTTTATCCATTCCTCAGTTGATGGACACTTGGGTTGTTTCCAAGATCTGGCTATTACAAATTGTGCTGCTATAAACATGGGTGCACATATATCACTGTGGTATGATGCTTTCAGTTCTTCTGGGAATATGCCTAGGAGTGCAATAGCTGGGTCAAATGGTGTTTCCAGTCCCAGCTTTCTGAGCATTTGTTATTGGTGGTTTTCTTGATCTTGGCCATTCTTTCAGGAGTGAGATGAAATCTCAGTGTGGAAAAACCACACCTTCTTTATCCATTCATTCATCGATGGGCACTTGAGCTGAGGAAACATTCTTAAAATTAACTCTTGGACACAATTTTTTCAACTAATTCTGTAGAACCCATGAGGTTTGGGAGGTGTTTCCCCAAATGATCATAATGGTCTTAAATGTAATTAGCATTAAGTGTCCCTTCAGAGTGTACTTTATGGCTCTGACCACAGGGTAGCACATAAACTATGGCCTCCACGAGCTGGGGAGATGAGGGCGTCTTGGTCACTTTCCTCATTGCAGGGATACAATATGTGACACCAGCAACTTAAAGAAGGGGAGATTTATTTCAGCTCACATTTTAGAAGTTTCAGTCCTTGTATGACTGGTGGCAGTGGCACTTTGGAAAGGCCTGAGCAGAGGAAAGCTTCTCTCCTCTTGGAGGATAGGAAGCACAGAGAGGAGGAAGGATCCAGGGAGGGAGATACGAACTTGTAGGCCATGCCCTCAGTGACCTGCCTCATTCTACCAGATCCCCCTTCCAAAACCAAGCCAGCTGTAATGCCCCATAATCCATCCCTTCCACAAGCCTTGCCTCTGAGTGCATGGGACTCGGGTGAGGGGACCTCCAGATAGAAACCATATAAGGAGGAGGATGTCATGGGTGGGATGGTAGGCGATGTTCGGAAGCTCAGGTGCTTTGCTCAGGAGACAAATGCTGGCTCAGAAAGTGGCCCTTCTGCATGGCATTGTTCTGGTGCAGGTGGGCTTGGCCTGGAAGGGGAGATACAGGTTCCCTCTTTATTCTGAGAGTCATGGTCCTCTTTCCTTCTCTCATTGCTATTGATTTCCAGCTGAGATGCTGAGACAGAGATTGGAAGACCTGGAGCAGGAGCGAGGCCGCCTGTCTGTGGTGCTCCCATCCCTGCAGCCGGCCCTCAGCAACTTCCTGGGCCACCTGGTGACGCAGGCCCAGGCCACCCTGCACCGAGCTACTCAGCCGTGAGTACCTGGGGGTGCCACCTCTCTCCCTGCACTTTTCTTCTTGCAGTGAAGAACTGGAAAGCATTGACTGTGATGAGAAATGAGGGTTTATTTTTGTTTGGGGAACGGTCCCTCATTTTGGGGTCTTTTCCTATGAAGAAATGTTCCCTGAGTGGACAGGTTCTGACGTGGTCCTCTCACAGCAGGTGACTTCCACTTCTGCTGTCTTCGCGGACACTGAAGTGTCACCTCGTCTCTCTTCCTTTACCACATGTGCCTTTCCTAACTTGACTTTCTACTTAATTCTTTTTGTTTAATTGTTGGAGTTATTTCTTGTTTTCTACCCCAATCTACTTGTCAATTTATCATGTTCCTATCTAACAAACATACAGAAGAGTCACCAAGGCCTTTAGAAGTAACTAATTTAATTTTTAAAATCATCAGTACAACACAATGCATAATAACATCAAACCCAGCCCTGGCAATTTAGCAAAACCCTGTCTCAAACAATACATATAACATTCACCCTTTAGATCGTCTGTAATTATATAGAGCAGCTGCATTAAGTTCATTTGCAGTGCTGAACAACCATTACTCACATCCATCTCCAGAACGTAGTCATCATGTGAACCCGAAACTCTGGCCCCATTGACCACTGCCTCTGCACCCCTCTTGCTGCTAGCTGTTACCTCCACTCTCGTTTCTGTCTATGCATTTTACTGCTCCAGGGACCTCATTTAACCAGAATCATCATCATGTAGAATGAATCCTTTTGTGATTGCCTTAGGATAATGTCCTCACCTTAATCCATGTTGCAGCCCGTGTCAGAATTTCCTTCCTTGTCAGGGCTGAGTATTTCATTGTAGAGATAGACCTTATTCATGCATGGGAAGAGAGTAACTCACTTAGCTGTCACGGTGATTCTGGGGGTAGTATTTTGTATATTGATTGCTGTGTGCACATAGAGATCTGTATCAACATTGTCTTTCCATAGCTGGGCCTAAGAAAGAGGAGACAAGGGCTCAGATAGACCCAGGGGTGAGCGCTGAGGCAGACACAGCATGGAGGTTCAGCTCGTGTCCCAGCACTGGGCTGCCAGTGCCAAAGGCTTCTTTTATTGTCTCTTTTTTAAAAAAATTTATTTAAAGTAGAAAACAAAACAAAACAGTATAAGGGTACAAGTAATACAGAATTTCAACAAAAAACAGTAAGAAATCACTCGTTAATAGATTACATATTGTCCTCTTAGAAATAGTTGTTCAAGTTACAGGATTAAAGTATACAAAGTGGACATTCAAACAGTGAGACTGCAAACAGTTGTCTCTTTAGCCTGACACGCAACTTGGATGGGGAGTACTATTTGCTATGGCCTTGGCTGGATCCCTTATAGAATGTGATTAATTAAAGCAAGATAGTATCCTACATTTTCCGTTGTATTAGGTTACATCAGGGGTCCTCGTTTACGTTTGACCATTTTGGGAGCTATCAAAATTGTGATTCTGCAGAATTCACCCTGGGATGTCTTTCCCAAAGTACAGGTCTTTATTGGGTATTTGCTAAGCCAATATTTATGCTGGCTTACTTCTCAGCAAGCACCTTTTCTCCTTTTCCTCATGGGAGTTACCCATTTGCTGTGAGGACTCTAAAGATCTGTCCCCACCTCTCCCTTCCCCCACGCCCCAGCCTGCCCACTTCTGAGTCCTGTTGTTGTTCCTGTCTGCCTCTGTCTTATCCATGCCCCCCTCTCACCCCCCATGACAGGGCCTTCCATTGGGTCCGTGAATGTCCTCTGGCTGGTGTACCTGACCCCATCAGGGCTCCTGCTCACCTGCATCTCCAGTGCCACAGATGGGGACCTCAGGCTGTGCTCAGTGGCTCTCACTGCATTCAGGGTGAACTAGATGCTCTTAGTGTGATGCACAAAGCTGTGTCCGGCACTGTCCCATAGCCATGAGTCCTCTGGTGCCCTGCACGTTTCCATGTCCTCCGGCATGTGCTGCGCATGGTCACCAGCTGTTGCTCTCTCTTGAGGCAGTCAAGCTGCCCCTCTCCTGGATCCTTGCCCCTCAGTCATTTGTCATCCTGTGATCTGTTGGCACTCGAGTGGCCGCACCATTCTGTTTCCAGAATGTGTGTTCCTTTTGCTGGATGACAGCCACCGAGAGGCCAAAGTGTCCTGTGTTTGCTTTTGTCACCGAGTTTAGTGACATTGTTGCATATGTGTGCACACAGGATCACCAACCGATGTGACAGGGGAGAGAGATAAAGAGGAGAGAGAGGAGAAGATTCCCTCAGGCCCTCTGAGGCCCAGTGAGCAGAACCTGGATGCGAGGTCAGGAACCTACCTTCCATCCCATCTCCTCCTCTACCCAGCTGAGCATGGCTTGGTGTGGCCCCCCCCCAGCCTCTGAATCCCTTCATTGGAAAGTGAAGGGTTGAGTTAGGTTCCTGTTTTTCATTCCTCAATTACTGACATATTGCCTTGGCTTTTCTCTTTACAAATTTACCTGTCCTGTTATTGCCATACCTTAAAAATAATGGCTTGAAATCTACTTCTTTATTATATCTTTATAATGCATGCATAGGTGATTACATAGTTACTGATAATGAAGGACTCCTGTCCCTGAGACACCAACTGCTGGAGTGGCTTCTGACATCTGCCCCACCTGGGTGTCTGACTGGCAGGTTGGGGGACTGCTGTTCTCACAGAGGCCACCAGGGGGCCCTCAGACACAGCCCTGCCCTCTGTGGGGCAGGGCTTTGAGTCCAATGAATGGTTCTTTTCCTGTGCAAATAAAATAGTGGTATTAACATGGCCCATTTTCAACGCTAATAAGACGCACGGAGAAGTGCCTCTTAATCTTTCTGAGGTCAAGAATTGAGTCTGGTGATAGCTATAGATGTCTTCAATCATGGGCCATGTATGTTTATACATGCAAGTTGCATGGTGCAGTATCAGAAGACTTGCAGATGGGGGCCAAGCCAGTCACTTCTGGGGCGAGGGGAGTCTTTGGAGCTTAGGAAACTTTGGAGTGAGACTGAAGGAAATTCAAACACCAAGCTACTTTAAAAAATTATTTTTATTGTCATTTTGTTTTAAAAAATTACTATGTAATCCACTTTTTAAATAAAAGCGTGTTTAACTTCTCAGAACTTAGGGTAGGGTATGGCTCGGTGTACAGCACTTGTGTAGCATGTGTGAGATGCTGAGCTCCTTACCAGCAACACCACACACCTACACTCACGTGCAACCCCGCCCCCCAACTCCATTACCTGAGCTTGAACTTGTTAGAATAGCATCCCGAGTCACCCACTTTGTTACTGCCTTCATGGGTCACTATGAACCTCTGATAGTGACCATCAGTAGGGGACAGATGTGAAAAGGTTCTGTCATTTTCATGTCTACGGAGTTGACCCTTCCTATGCCTTAGTGACATCTTTGTCAGATGGCAGAAACGTCCAGGCTGTTCCTGTCACTGATCTGCACCCAATTCTCTGCGCTTGGGAACCCAGCTGTAGACCCAGCTTAGAGCTCTCATGTCCTGTTTTTTGATCCTCTTCCTTGTCACCCACAGTTTGCACGTGTAAGCATCTGTAGCCCTCTTTATGTGGATGTCGACATGCCCATGCTTCTGTGGATCAAGTGTGGCTCTGCAAGGGCCCTCCCCAGCGCTCCAAACCTGACATGGACATGACCTCCTCTGCCTTGGCAGCTGCCACCTGCACCCATGGCTCTGCTTCCCCCATGGGAGGGGATAAGGCCTGCGATATCCCTTGCTTGGTGGAAGGTTGATACACCTCTGCCATATATATGGCTGGTAGAAACCCAGACCCCACCTTGGCAGGCACTGGGAAGTCACCCTGCCACTCGGTTCAGTCATCACTGATATTGGGGAGTAAGTGCCAGATGACTGCTGAGACCCTGGATGCCATGGGTCAATGTGGCCACTTAATTTCTCTGTGGATGGGGACAGTCTCATGCTCATGGCCACTACTCACCTGGGCGTGCACAGTTGTTCAGGTTTGTCTGCCAGCGGCTTCTCTGTGTAGAGAGAGATGGGAGGTGCTCCTGGGTGCAACCTTGCAAGTATCTCCCTCAACCCTCTTGAGGCTCAGTTCAGAGGCACATCACACAGTTTTTTTCTGGAAGGCTCCTAGTAGGACTGGGTATCAGCTGCACATGTAGCAATTGGCTTGTTAACACACTGTTTACACTTTCTGCTGTGGCTCCCTTTCTCTAGTTTCTGGGGATCACTTCTCTGAAGACAACCTACTCTCAGACCCGTGTCATAGACTCAGCCATAGGAGGAACCCAGAGTTAGACAGTGGCTCACAGTGGAGAGTGGGTGCCTGTCCATCTCTAAGGGGGAGTCCAGTGGCTTCTGAGTTTCTGGGTTCCAGTGGGGAGTTTGCTTCTTCCTTGCTGCCTGGGATGGGCAGGCACCTCTCCTGGAAGCTGCTTGTCCTGCTCTGCCAGTAGGCAGCAGGACCAGGATTGAGGTGCTACCTGTGTAGCCCCAGGAGTAGAGCCGCAGGCTTGCCATGATGGATTCGAAGTGCAGGCAATTTGGCTCATGCCCTTCTGCTCTTGGTTCTGAGCCTGGAGCAATGGGAGAATTCCACATCAATGTCATAGCAAGATTGAGGATATGCTCCCACTCTGTCAACCCCCAGTTTAAGAAAAATTGTTTTCATTTTCTCCTAAGGCAGGGATTTGGCCACCATTGCTCATTTGATGGTAATTTCCTTGTCTATACTTTGTTTTTCTCTAACATACTCATGTGTATTCCATTGGGTCTTCACCAATGTATATGCTCACACTGGTCACATTTGTAACCTACATTGGGTGTGCAAAATTATCCTTTATCAAAGACTATGCTAGAGGACAATTTGAAACATAAGCAAGCAAAATATAGCAAAGTTTAAAAATGAAGTGCGCTGCCTCCCATCTGCCACGAGCGCTTCTCCTCTGCTGCACCGCCAGGCCTCAGAGGCAGCTGACTGTGGACTGCACGCAG